GTGTAACTCTCCCAGTTACTATGTCCTAGTAACACACACTTAAATTCCCAGTTGTCTAAGCTCTATGTTATTTAGGTGTTAAATGATATACATGTGAGCATATTTTAGACAGGGGAAGGCCCATAATATTTGGGCAACACTCAATACCTCAACTCCAGTTTATGAAACCCTTCACCGTACTGCGTATTTAAATGCTTTTTGTCTGCATTGCTGCATCCCCTCAGATCTTCATCAACAATGAATGGCATGACTCAGTGAGTGGCAAGAAATTTCCTGTTATTAACCCAGCAACTGAGGAGGTCATCTGCCATGTGGAAGAAGGGGACAAGGTAAGTTTTCCAACACCCGCAGGTCCAGTTCACACATGAAGTCTTTGTTTCTCACCATTCTGAGATCACAGCCCACTGCAAGTTCAGTGAAAGACATGAAAACATGGCTGCTCAGGTAGTTGGGTAAATGTTCTGTTGTCCTTGGCATAAGAATTTGCCTCATATATGTCTGGTAGAGAGTAAATATCTGTAATACACAAGAACTTAAAATATCAAGAAACAATAAACAAATAAAACTGACAGGCTATAGATCTGATGTTAGCTTTTCTAATGTTACTCACGAATCTAGAATAGGGAGGTTGGGTTCAAAATGTTGATGTTCTGAGTCTACTGTAGCATAAAGAAGTATTAATTTTTAAATGCTTGTCTCTTTTCTTAAGGGTTAGCATTAGCATTTAGCATGGGGTTTTAAGAGTTTTAATATAATAACATATTTAAGGTGACTGTAGTTTTTTAAAAAAAAATTTAATACTTCTTTGGCTCTTGGCGCTTTGCTTTTTTGAGTTCCCAAACAAATATACAGAAATTCTTTCTGGCCTTAACTTGCCTTGTTTCTGGCTAGCTTTCCTTAACTTAAATTATCCCACCTCTGTTTTGCCTCTGAGCTTTTATCTTTATCCCATAGGTCTTTCTTTACTTCTTACTCCTTGGCTTGCTATGTAGCTGGGTGCCTGGCCCCTTGGATCTCATTCCTTCATCTTTCCCCTGAGATTTCTCCTCCTATTTATTGTCTCTGCCTGCAAGCCCTGCCTATCCTTTCTCCTTCCCTGCTATGAACATTCATCTATTTATTAGACTATTCATGTGTTTTAGACAGGCAAAGTTAGCAACTTCACAGAGTTAAGCAAATGCAACATAGAAGAATACAAATGCAGCACATCTTTGTATTACTAAATAAATGTTACACAGCATAAAAATTGTAACACATCTTTAATATTATACATCATCTGTCAACTAATTATGCTTTCTTCTTGACAATAAAATAACACTAAGAAAGAAGACTATGTGTCTGTAGTTATAAATTAACAAAAAGTCATATTATTGATGCTTTAACATTGAGGCCTTGAATATTTAGCTTCTATGGGACATTTTGCTCTGATACTGGTGTTAGTTCCATCAGGAAAACAACTCTCTACCTGGATTCACTAGAATCTTTGTCAGGCAGGCTGAGGACTTTGCTAGGGGAGTCAGTGAGGTTTACCTGCTTCCGAAGCCACAGATGAGAAAACTGGTGACCATCCGAGCAGCCTTGCCAGTGAGCACTGATCTGTTCTGTTCTTAGTGACAACTGCCTCTCTCATAGAAAGATCAAGGAAAGTAATTAATACCCAAACTGCAGGCCAAGTCACTATGCCTTTCTGGTTTACTGGACAAATAAATCCTCGAAGACAGTGCTTCTCCACCTGTGGGGTGGAGGGAGTCAAACAACCCCTGTCATATAGGTCACCTAAGACTACGGGAAAACACAGATATTAAATTATATCTGTGTTTTTATATCTGTATAATTAAAGTATAATTCATAACAGCAGTAAAGTAGCAGTTGTGAACTAGCAACAAAAATACATTTATGGTGGGAGTCACCACAAACGAGGAACTGTATTACAAGGTCACAGCACTGGGAAGGTCGAGAACCACTGCTATAAGAAAATTGTTAGTGATGAGCAAGAGCTGGCTTCACAGCCACCTTCCTATATCTGTGTCCTGTTTTGGAATCATTAAGCAAATTGTCTTGTTAGAATTATTGATGTTCAAACAGTTTGTGAGAGATCTAATGAAGAGTAACTAGCATTGCTTAGAGGACGGTTCTAACCTGGTAAAGTTCACAGTCAAGTCTGATATGCCAGACTTACTCATTAGGTCACAGTCTAAAAGTTTTGGAGATTCCATCCTTATGCAGAATGTTTCTCTCAACAGGCCAAACCATGCCTTTCATGGTATCACACGGGTGGGGCAGGGGACAGAATAAATACATTTATTTTCTCTTCAGTGGCTCTGACTTCAAACTGTAATACTTTATGCCCCTAGGTTACAAGGTTTGATGATAGTAAATCACAGTTAATCTGGTCACTGTTTTCTGTTTAATTCAAAAGTATATTAAAAATGCCAGCCTCTAAATAAAAGTCTACAATACAGGAACCTTGAAGTTAAAAAAATACTACAAAAATGCTATCAAAAACATTTATTAGGCCGGGCGATGGTGGCGCATGCTTTAATCCCAGCACTCGGGAGGCAGAGGCAGGCGGATCTCTGTGAGTTCGAGACCAGCCTGGTCTACAAGAGCTAGTTCCAGGACAGGCTCCAAAGCCACAGAGAAACCCTGTCTTGAAAAACCAAAAAAAAAAAAAAAAAAAAAAAAAAATTTATTAGACCTATAATGTTGGCTAATGAAAATGTTTGTTACATGATGGAAAAGAACTATTTACAGTATTATTTGTTGTATAAATATCAACAAGAATAAGCCATACAAGACTGATGTGTCACAGACGAATATATTTGTGTCTTTCCATAATGTCTAACTGTATTGAATAGCAATGAATTCACAAGATTTATCCATTCAAATGAAAGCAATTTGGTATAAAAGTCACCTACCTTAGTCGTCTGCTTGAGGAGATTGTGAATTCTTTCTTCCAGGATGAATCACTAACATTAATTCTCATACCACACATCACATAGTAAACGTATTTGGACCACTGTATATGCATTTATGGATTACTAAGTGAATGTAAGTTAAAGAGTCTGCAGCAGAGTTCAGAAGCTTCAGAGGTGGTTTAGAAAGAACCTGTAATGATAAGGAATCTTGCCTGGGCAGAGCTTCAGGGCAGTGGCTGGAGTCAGGGGGAAGAGAGAAGCTGCAAAGCTCAACTGCAAGATCAAAGGCCAGACTGGGTCTAAAACAGAAAAGAACAGTTCATATAGGTAAGCATGTAAATTGGATGGCCGCCCAGTGGGCTGGACAACAGCAGGGGCCCAGCTGAGCCAAGGAGTCCATGGCACCTGACACACACACTGGGTATCAGACCATAGTTGTTCAGAGGCCATGCATTGCAGTCTTAGATGTCCATCAATTTTTGTGATCCAGTCAAGGGTGTTGCACTCTTTTCTGGGTGCCTGTTAAGTTCTTTCTGTGATTATCTTGATTTGATTATACTATGCCTACTTGGCTACACACTTTCAATTCTCCCTGGTATATGTACAAGACGGCTTGCTTTCTATCCTTAGGATTATGTTATTCCTCAGACTGTGCTAGGCAGGTGGTATATGGAGGAGTTCTTTGGTCCACCTAGATGCTGTAGTCATCTTTCTCCCTCAAAATGGAGACAAAAGCTTCTCATAAAATGCACTCTCACAGGTAACCCACAGGCTGAAAAAACACTGTTGGCTACAATGTGGAGTGACTTAACAGCATTGACTATTTCACAAAGCAGTGCTGTTGGACATCCTTGCTGAGAAAATTGAATGTGGGGGTCAGATGTAGAATAAAATATTGGTTCTAGTCTGTTGTGTTTCAGTAGCCTAAGGAAAGATCACTAGAATAAGGTAACATTCCCTTCCTTATCCCTAAAGCAGGGTCCACGATATTTAAGTATTATAGTAACTAGGGTTATAAAGAACTTGCCTTCCTTCTTGTAGCTTAGCAGGGTCTTTATTATGGTCTGTCATTGAGCTAGGTGTCTGGTGACTATAGAGGTAAGTTGTTATAATAAAACAGGCCTTGAAAAATGTGTAAGATTTTGGAAGTAAATGTGCTTGCTTATAGGACCTTGTGTATGGAAAAAGAGTTTCAGGAGCAAAGGTGGGAAGAGCTGTCTCAGCTAGAGTAGGAGAAATGTCAACAGGAAGGCTTTCCAGAAAATATTGGACCTTGAAAACGAGAGAGCTTTGCTCTTTGCACTTAGGATTGTGGGTGAAGCCAGCACTTGCAAACACGCACAGGAATGTAATAAGATAAATTACATGACAATCAAACTAGTATCATTAAAGAGAGTGTGGGAAGTGGAGAGAGTGAATGGGAGGCTGTTCACAGGTTAGAACAGAAAAGGCCTTTGTGATAGAACGTAGAGAAGCTGAAAGGCTGTACTGGAATGGACTAGAATGCTGTAGTCATTTTCATGTTGGCTTGTCTTCTAGGACCACAGTTAACCCCATCTTGTGCACATTTGACATGTGTGCCACATAGAAAATGTGAGACACTTGTGAGTTTCAAGATAAAATAAGTGAACTTCAAACAAGTCCAGTTTAGAATAGAGTGGACCATCTGCACCCTGAGATTCCAATTTGGTCCATTTAATCCTGGGACCTGAAATGTGTAGCTGCTGACATAGATGTCACAGCTGTGTGCACACTGAGTGTGCAGAAAAATGTGGCCATTATTCTTGAAACAGTACAGTTTGTCTACTACCTTACTAAGCATTTGTATTCAGTATCAGAAGTATGGTTATTAAAAGGGTGTTTGAGGGGTAATCTGTAAATACTAAGTTTAGCACTCATGAATTTAGATTATCTTTCGATGACTTGGGGAACAATTCCTCTAGCATACTAAGGAAGGCCTGTTTACCTAGATTTTCCATTCCCATAATTCCCCCAATTTGTGTTTTCTTTACTGCTTCTATTTCCATTATCTGGTCTCAAACAGTTTTCTTCACCTGATGGTTTGCTTTCTCTTGGCTTTCTAAAAATATGGAATATTTCACAAATTTACCTGTCATCCTTGTGCAGGGGTCATGCAAATCTTCTCTGTATCATGCTAATATAGTATATGTGCTGCTGAAGCTAGCATGAGGCCTGTGGTTAATATAATAGCATGATGATGATATTCGGGTTTAGGTTCCTCCCATCTAATGACTATTTCATCACACACTCTATACCTCACTGTCCTATCGTTATGCAACCAATAGAAAGCTATATGGTGGATGGATATGGGAATGCATCAAAATTAAAACGGAGAACTCAGAATCCATTTTTTAAAAATAAAAACTCACTGTCTTTAGCCTATTTCTGGTCCTGCAAGATTAAGCATCTGGTTTGAGTAAAGGAGAGTCATGACCCAAATGATAAGACCAGAAGAATAAGTTTACTTATAACAGTTTTCTATAGGCAGGTTTTTTTTTTTTTTTTTTTTTTTTTTTTTTTTTTTTTTTT